AATGCTAAACATCCATCTTAGAACCTTCCAAATCACAATATCCGACACATAAAGCCACAAGGCATCATATTGCATAACTGGCTACTAAATCGACCAAATCTAATCCAATAATCCCACCAATAGAACCAACCAGACAAAACCAAAAAACAAACTCATCCATTAACTATTTCATATGCTCCACTGATCTACCTATTTTGTCATACAACATATGCCACACAACCAAAGACTTCCCTTCCGACCACTTAGGAATACAAATAAACTTACTTACACCAACGCATAATACAAAACAGCTCAGAAATAGTATACAATTATAACAAAATCAACACGCTTATGTGGAACAACCTAATCCTTCAAAAACTAAGCCCAATACAAAAGGACAGTAACTCAAATAAATCAGAAATAGACTCATATATTAATAATATCGACTATGCCATTAGCTCAGCAATAGAATCACCGAATGCTATACCAAAAATAAAAATATCCCCCACCAAACCCAATCTAACAGTCAAACTCAATACACATTGCATTACACTCATCAGACATAGACAAAACATTAGAAACATACTGCACAGTCGGCTATTACACTTACTCAGTAACAGTAGTAGTAAGTAGTTAGTTAGTTGTAAGTAGTGGTAGTAGAAGGTAGTAGTAAAAAAAAAAAAAAAATAAATAAATAAATAAAATAAAAAATAAAAATTTAAAATTTATTATAAAATAATAATCTAGGTTTTTATCTCCATTAGAGACTTTCCTAAAATATTTATATAATCTAAGCCAGCTTCCAAATATAACACACTTATGAATCTCAAACACAAAAAAACATGTAAACAAAAAGACTCTGGCCTAAAAAGCTTAAAGCGAAAGGCAATACATAATCAAATCCTAAATTAAGAGTTATCTTGTATTAGTCACACAAGAATAAACCTATAACTAAGTACTACAAATTGTTAGTATTAAGATACCATTTTGACAATAAAAAATCAAAATCAAAAACAAATCGGTCCTTTTCAGGACCACAATATTTCTAACAAGGAGATTCTTATTTTCGCTTAAACTACTATTTTCAGATTTTAGTTGATCTCAAAAATAAATCGATCGTCCTACAAACCTTTAGAAAAATGGAAAATATGGATTAATCAAATGATTTTTTTGAATGCGCTTAATTTATTTTTTATGAACTCCTTTTAGAAGCAACAATAGCAACAAGAACAGTAAAGAATATAGATGTTTATTCATTTAAAATTGAGTTAAGAAATAGTAGTTATGAAAGGTGCTCTGTTGTTAACCTGCTCCTTTTTTCGGTTAATGTGTACAGAAGAATATATATAGATTTATTGAACTTACAAAAAAGTTGCATGTTTATAAGGCGTTTGGTTAAATTAAACATTTTCGGTAGTTAGCCAATTGCGTTTCAATTGAGATTTAACTTATTTCTGATTGTGTGTTTTTTTGAAAACATTTTGATATACAAGTAAAAGGATTTTAAATATTTTTTATATTTTCTGCCTTATGTGCCTTGTGTGTCTCATAAGATAAAATAATATTTTAACGCTGATGTCTTTGCGCAAGATAAGTGTATCTGACATGTAATGTTGAATATGATGGTATGAAATGATTATATGTTTGAAGTAAGTAAAGAAAATATTAATATAATATTTGCATTCTAATTTTTTAATTTATATTTATTACTATATTTATAATGTTAAGGAGAAAATTTTATTTTTCGGAACGATTTTTGTTTAGCGTTGGCTCAAAAGTGCGATTGTTTTTAACGGCAAATGGTTTTGTTGAAATCATATTTAATATATAAATCCATTGCGTTTGTTCATATTAATGGTTGCATTTAATTAAGAAATTATTAAATTATTATCTTTTAAATTTATATATTAACATTTTTATTATTATCTTATTAAAAAAATGGTTTTTCTAATATAACTTATTTTGCATTCACACAAACTTCAACTTTGAGGGGCAATAAAAAATCATAAAATTATAAAAATGTAAGTAAAAACTAATTTTATGAACTTTTCAAACATTTCAGAATACAATCTAAAACATATTTAGTGTGGATATAAAATTTAAACTGTTCAAAAAGACAAGTCAATAAAATGGTAATTGTAAACTTTTGCGTATCGTACATTCAATGGTACAAACATTCTCGTTCGGCCTTCCTCCTCGATTCTCATCCAAACGGGTGACCAAATTTCATGGTATTTTCGAATTAAACAATAAGTAAAACGTTGCGTTTTGTTTGTTATAAAGTGAAAAGTAAAGAAGTGAATAATAGAAAATGTCTGATTCAGCAGTTGCAGTATCCGCGTCCCCGGTAACTCCCCAAACAGGCTCAGCTGAGAAGAAGGTGGCTGCTAAAAAGCCTGCATCTGCATCCGCATCTAAGGCAAAGAAAACGGCGGCTCCTCCAACACACCCACCAACTCAGCAAATGGTGGATGCATCGATAAAAAATCTAAAGGAACGTGGAGGCTCATCACTTTTGGCTATTAAGAAATATATCAGTGCCACTTACAAGTGCGATGCCCAGAAACTGGCTCCTTTCATTAAGAAGTACCTGAAGAATTCAGTTGCGAGTGGAAAGTTGATCCAGACAAAAGGGAAGGGTGCATCTGGTTCATTTAAGCTGTCTGCATCGTCCAAAAAGGAGCCCAAGCCAAAGGTATCCTCCATAGAGAAGAAATCTAAGAAGGTAACTGCATCGGCAGCAGCCAAAAAGAAGAGTATATCTGCCACCAAAAAAGTAAAGGGTGCTGCTGATAAGAAGTTATCGAAGGCTGTGGTGACCAAAAAGAGCACCGACAAAAAGAAAGCGGACAAAGCAAAAGTCAAAGATGCAAAGAAATTAGGAACCATTAAAGCGAAGCCCACAACAGCAAAGGCGGCAAAGTCAAGCGCAGCAAAGCCAAAGACTCCGAAACCTAAAACTACAAGTGCTAAGCCTAAAAAGGTTGTCTCGGCAGCATCACCGAAAAAAGCAGCTGCAAAGAAGCCAAAAGCAAAAGCTGCGTCCGCAACAAAGAAGTAATTTCACTTCAAAATTACTCGGCAGGGTAGAAACGAATTTCAAAACTATGAAATTTGCAATTAATCAAAGTCCTTTTCAGGACTACTATTACATATTTCCAAGAGAAAAAATACTTTCATAAACATATCTGTAGGTCAATATAAAAAGAGAGAGCCAATTTAGCCAAAAATTGCTAGATTATTATTTATTTATTTACTTATTGTTAAAAAGAATTTTAAATAACAAGTTTTAAGCCAGAGCAACGGAGGCCTTCAGGCAAGATTATAATTTTCAATGTTTGTTCTCTTTTTTCTTTGATTGTTGTTGTTGTTCTGGTTGGGCTTCATTTCGCTAAACATTTCATTTCATTTCATCATAAACACAAAAGATTTTTGATAGTTGTTCGTTCGAATTATCACGATAATTCATTGAAATATTTAAAATTCTTTGAAAAAAGATTTGTGGCCCTGAAAAGGGCCTTTTGCTTTCGGATGTTCTGCATACATCAAGCCAAGATTTACTTGGAGCTAGTGTACTTGGTTACTGCTTTGGTTCCTTCACTGACAGCGTGCTTGGCCAACTCTCCGGGCAACAGAAGACGGACTGCAGTTTGGATTTCCCGACTGGTAATCGTTGAACGTTTGTTGTAGTGTGCCAAACGAGAGGCCTCAGCAGCAATACGCTCAAAAATGTCGTTCACGAAGCTGTTCATGATGCTCATTGCTTTCGACGAGATTCCAGTGTCAGGATGGACCTGCTTTAGCACTTTGTAAATATAGATAGCATAACTTTCCTTCCTCTTGCGCTTCTTCTTCTTATCATTCTTTGTAATATTCTTCTGGGCCTTGCCAGCCTTTTTGGCTGCCTTTCCACTTGTCTTAGGCGGCATTATTATTATTGTATTATTCACTCAAGTTCACTTTTACTCACTTCCCAAATGTTTGACAGAAAAATTCAGCTTGGTTAACATTTGTAGGATTTTTCGAACAACCTTTTCATGTTTGCGTACAGCACAACTCACCCTCTTCAGCTGAAAAAGTAGGTAGGTAAAAAAGTATAAGTAGACATGATGCGAATGTTGAGCATTCGATTCTTGTTTGTTGAGTGGAGAAGTGTAAAAAAGAAAAAAATAAATATATAATGTCTGGTCGTGGTAAAGGTGGAAAAGTGAAGGGAAAGGCAAAGTCGCGCTCAAACCGCGCTGGCCTGCAGTTTCCCGTTGGTCGTATTCATCGGCTTCTTCGCAAGGGCAACTATGCCGAGCGTGTTGGTGCCGGTGCTCCAGTTTACTTGGCGGCTGTTATGGAATATTTGGCCGCTGAAGTTTTGGAGTTGGCTGGTAATGCAGCCCGCGACAACAAGAAAACCAGAATTATCCCTCGCCATCTGCAATTGGCCATCCGCAACGATGAAGAGTTGAATAAACTCCTTTCGGGCGTCACTATTGCCCAGGGCGGTGTGTTGCCTAACATCCAAGCAGTTCTGTTGCCTAAGAAGACCGAAAAGAAGGCTTAAATTACGAATTAATGCAAATCTAAACCAAAACCAAAACCAAACGTCCTTTTCAGGACGACCAAATATACAAAAGAGATGCGATTTTTCATGTATTAGTCTAAATAAATATACAAATATAATTTAATATAAGAAAAAATTCAAAATAAAACAGTCATTTTTTCATTCACAGTCATTCACAGTCATTAACGTGTCGAAAAGTTGAAATACTGCTGGTCGGCAGTGCTGCCAACTTTTCCGGGCAAGAAAATACTAAAAATTACCCTTTCAAACCTGCTAGAAACGGCTAGATCAAATTCAAGAATAGCCAGAAATATAGCCATTTCAGTTTTTATACCCTGATCCCATTGAAAATTGGAAAATGGGTTATAAAATTATATATTTTCTTGATCAGGGCGACGAGCTAAGTCGATTTAGCCCGGTCCGTCTGTTTGTCCGTATATATGAACGCGTCGATCTAAGAAGACTTGATTTTTTTTAATGGTTTGATTTTTAAAAATGTCAAATTTCCCGCCAGCAGCTAGATTAAAAATTTTCCTGCAATTGACAGTTGAAAAAGGCCAGATCTGGCCGGTAAAAGGCTAAGTTGGCAGCCCTGCTGTTCGGTCTGTATATATTCTTTGAGTGCATAAAATAATATTTTCTGCTAATACGACATCGTACTCTTTCTTGGTCGGATACAAAATATATACATCATTGTTCATCTGTTCCAATATATATTGCAGCTAGACTAGACTAGTAGCGCAAGATAAGTATAAACTTTATTAACGAGAATCGAATAGTTATTGAATTTCATATTTTTCAGCTCTTTTAAGGAAATATATTGGTGGTCCTGAAAAGGACCGATTGTTGTGAAAATAAGTTGCTTGTTTGTACTCGTTTTTTCTTAACCGCCAAAACCGTACAGTGTACGACCTTGCCTCTTCAATGCATAGACAACATCCATGGCTGTGACTGTCTTCCTCTTGGCATGTTCGGTGTATGTGACAGCATCGCGAATAACATTTTCCAAAAAGACCTTAAGAACGCCACGGGTTTCTTCATAGATTAGTCCAGAAATTCGCTTCACGCCACCACGACGAGCTAAACGACGGATAGTAGTGATGTGAAAAAACATCGATGCATCGACAATCGATGTTTTTTTGGCGATGTTTACCGATGTTTTCCGATGTTTTTATTGATACCGATGTTAAGCGATGCACCGATGTTTTTAAGCGATGCATCGATGTTTTCCAAAACGTCGCTGGTTTGATTTTATACATATTTTGCGTATATTGTCGTGTGTTGCCTGAAAGTGCAGTTATACAAACTTAAGCAGCAAATATTGCAATGCCGAAGTAAGTAAATATAGTAACATTACTTATATGTATTTATTTATGTATGTACATATGTACATATATTTATACGACAAAATCAATTGTTTTAGAATAACAACAAAGACGAGTTTTTGCTGGAAGCATTTCGCCAAAATTGATGGCAATAGTGCGAAATGTAATATTTGCGGCAAAACAATCAAAACTGCAGGGAACACTACGAATATGAAAGATCATCTACGCAATGTGCATAAAATAAGGGAAGAAGACCAGACACCTGTGTCTAACAGTGGGACGCCACGACAAGCTTCAATAGCTGCAAGCTTCCAAAATATCACGGATTTTGGAGGAGAAGGACAAAAAACAAAAAAAATAAATGATGCAATTGTTTACATGATCGCAAAGGACATTCAGCCGTTTTCAATTGTTGAAAATGCTGGATTCATTTATTTGATGAATACTGTCGCACCTCGTTATGAAATTCCTTCGCGTTATAAAGTAACCAAATGGCTCGATGAGAAGTACAGTCAAATGAAAGATCTGTGGAGAACAAGGCTGACTGGAAAGAGCATATCCTTAACAATGGACATATGGAGTGACCAAATGTCAATGCGCAGCTATTTAGGGATCACTGCTCATTTTCTCTTGGAGCAGGAAATGTCTTCATTGACAATTGGAGCTATGCAGTTAAGCGAGCGTCACACAGGACCATATCTGAGCGAAATGCTGGAAATCTGTTGCTCAGATTGGAACATTGACAAAAAGCAAGTAACAGCTATTGTCACAGACAATGGTACAAATATTAAAAAAGCTGCTGAGATAACGTTTGGGCCCAAAATTCACCTGCCCTGCTTTGCGCACACGATTAATCTTATTGCTCGCTCGGCCATCCAAAGGGAATCCGTAAATGGATGTATTGCCAAAACTAAATCAATCGTTGCTTTTTTTAACCATAGTGGTGTGGCCAGCGACCATTTAAGGAAAGCAACAGATAAAGTACTTATTCAGGATGTTCCAACGAGATGGAACAGTACATATTATATGATAGAGCGCTTTTTGGAGGTCAAAACGCAAGTGAACGACATTTTACTGAGTATTCCAAATGACCAAATGTTGCTTACCGGAAAGGAATTTGAGCTGTTAAACAATGTGCTTACAATGCTACGCCCCCTTGAGGAAGCAACGAAAATTGTCAGCGGAGACAAATATTGTACGGCCAGTACGGTCATACCCATTGTCAGCATCATCAAAGACAAATTAGAAAAATTAAGTGACAACACACAAGAAGCGAAGGATATGAAGGAGTTCCTGCTTCTCGAAATAGAAAGGCGAATGGGATCGATTGAGCAGGTATATTTCAAATACTCTTAATTGGTAGTTTCGTTAAATATATATTTGTAATGTACTGTTTTAGGTATCGATTCTAGCAATGGCCACGTTGCTTGATACTAGATTTAAAAAATTACATTTTAAAGATCCAGTTGCATGTGCCAATGCACTGATGAAAATTAAATCTATGTTTAAAGAAAATGAAAGCAAAGAGGTCATACCACCGACAACAGGGAACTCGGATTCTTTTTGGAACCACCATCACCAGCTCGCGCAGTGTCACAACCCGAATGTGGATATGGACGTAGAAATAAGCTCTTATCTACGAATACCGCTTACTTCCTTCGAAAGTAATCCAATAACTGTTTGGGAAAGCATGAAATGTACATATCCGAATTTGTACAAAATTGCTATGCAATTTTTGCCGGTGATGGGATCATCCGTTCCCTCTGAACGGGTTTTCTCAGCGGCTTCAAATATTTTGTGCCGTAAAAGAAACAGAATGACACCTGAGCGACTAAGTCGTATTTTGTTACTGCAAAGCATTGACAAAAAATATTTTTTTTAATTGTTTCTTTTTAATATGTAGTTTATAAGTAACATTGAAAGATAAAAAAACTGCTATGAAAGCATACGTTTTTTTTTTTTTTGTTTGTTTAATAATTTTTAATTAACTGCTATGAAAGCATACGTATTTTTTTTTTTTTTTTTTTTGTTGTTTAATAATTTTTAAGATAAGATAAGTCTCATGAATATGAAAAGATTGCTATAAGTTTTTCATTTTTAAGTTAAAAATAATTTAAGTGAAATAATAACGCTATGAAAGCACCTATGAAGAAGCTTTAAAACCCGAAAAAAACGTTTCTTAATAGAATGGGAAAATACATCGATGCATCGAAGTTTTGACCCGATGTATAAACCAAACATCGATGCTTGACAACGAAAACATCTATGGGCATCGACATCGATGTTTTTACTCAAATTTACATCACTAACGGATAGCTGGCTTCGTGATACCCTGGATATTATCACGCAACACTTTGCGATGACGCTTTGCACCTCCTTTACCCAAGCCTTTGCCACCTTTACCACGACCAGTCATTTTTCACTTTTGTTTTTAATATACTAGAGCACTTCACGAATGTCAGCAATAAACTGATCTGTGAACTGCAGAATCACTCCTATTTATACTGAGATATCCGAAAACTTGAGAGAGCACACAAATGCTTGCATCCCGCTCACACACTACCCTTGCAACATTTAGTAGAGTAACACGATCACTATTTGTCGATCACGAATATGTCGATCTCTTTCTAACGCACCACCAGTTTTCTATATAAACCCAGGTGTTTTGGGTTGCGACCATTCAGTTTTAAATTGTGACAGTGTAAGATAGTATTGTGAAACGATGGCTCGTACAAAGCAGACCGCTCGCAAGTCAACTGGTGGCAAGGCTCCTCGTAAGCAGTTGGCTACTAAGGCAGCACGTAAAAGTGCACCAGCTACTGGCGGTGTGAAAAAACCTCATCGCTATCGCCCTGGTACAGTTGCTCTGCGTGAAATTCGTCGTTACCAGAAGAGCACAGAGTTGCTTATTCGCAAGTTGCCGTTCCAGCGTTTAGTCCGTGAAATCGCTCAAGACTTCAAGACTGACCTTCGTTTCCAGAGCTCAGCTGTGATGGCTCTACAGGAAGCTAGCGAAGCCTACTTGGTTGGCCTATTCGAAGATACAAATTTGTGCGCCATCCATGCTAAGCGCGTCACCATTATGCCCAAGGACATTCAACTGGCTAGACGTATCCGTGGCGAGCGCGCATAAATTGCTTCGCTATTCTGTCTTGTATTTATTACAAGCAACATTCAACAAATCGGTCCTTTTCAGGACCACAATATTTCTAACAAGGAGATTCTTATTTTCGCTTAAACTACTATTTTCAGATTTTAGTTGATCTCAAAAAAAAAATCGATCGTCCTACAATATATAAATTGAAAATATATCTCGAATATGATTGAAAACTATTATACGTATAAAGAAAATATTTTATGTTGCCAACGGTTGTACTATTAACAGAACGCTGTTAATTTACATCAACAGAGTGCTGTTAATAACACAGCCGGGCTATGTGGGGGAGGAGCAATCCTGTTAATGGGATCTGGCATTAACATTTTATTTATTTACTTATTTTTACAGAACAATATATATAGCTTTATTGAACTTACAAAAAAGTTGCATTTTTATAAGGCGTTTAGTGTAAATTATACATTTTCAGGAGTTAGCCAATTGCGTTTCAATTGAGATTTAACTTATTTCTGATTGTGTGTTTTTTGAAAACATTTTGATGTACACTTAAGAGATTTTAAATATTTTTTATATTTTCTGCCTTATGTGCCTTGTGTGTCTCATAAGATAAAATAATATTTTAACGCTGATGTATTTCTTTGCGAAAGATAAGTGTATCTGAAATGTAATGTTGAATATGATGGTATGAAATGATTTAATTTTTGAAGTAAGTAAAGAAAATATTAATATAATATTTGCATTCTAATTTTTAAATTTATATTTATTACTATATTTATAATGTTAAGGAGAAAATTTTATTTTTCGGAACGATTTTTGTTTAGCGTTGGCTCAAAAGTGTGACTGTTTTTAACGGCAAATGGTTTTGTTGAAATCATGAAACTCTATTATACGTATAAAAAAATATTTTATTTATTTATTTATTTTTACATAACAATATATATAGATTTATTGATCTTACAAAAAAGTTGCATGTTTATAAGGCGTTTGGTTAAATTAAACATTTTCGGTAGTTAGCCAATTGCGTTTCAATTGAGATTTAACTTATTTCTGATTGTGTGTTTTTTGAAAACATTTTGATGTACACTTAAGAGATTTTAAATATTTTTTATATTTTCTGCCTTATGTGCCTTGTGTGTCTCATAAGATAAAATAATATTTTAACGCTGATGTATTTCTTTGCGAAAGATAAGTGTATCTGAAATGTAATGTTGAATATGATGGTATGAAATGATTTAATTTTTGAAGTAAGTAAAGAAAATATTAATATAATATTTGCATTCTAATTTTTAATTTATATTTATTACTATATTTATAATGTTAAGGAGAAAATTTTATTTTTCGGAACGATTTTTGTTTAGCGTTGGCTCAAAAGTGCGATTGTTTTTAACGGCAAATGGTTTTGTTGAAATCATATTTAATATATAAATCCATTGCGTTTGTTCATATTAATGGTTGCATTTAATTAAGAAATTATTAAATTATTATCTTTTAAATTTATATATTAACATTTTTATTATTATCTTATTAAAAAAATGGTTTTTCTAATATAACTTATTTTGCATTCACACAAACTTCAACTTTGAGGGGCAATAAAAAATCATAAAATTATAAAAATGTAAGTAAAAACTAATTTTATGAACTTTTCAAACATTTCAGAATACAATCTAAAACATATTTAGTGTGGATATAAAATTTAAACTGTTCAAAAAGACAAGTCAATAAAATGGTAATTGTAAACTTTTGCGTATCGTACATTCAATGGTACAAACATTCTCGTTCGGCCTTCCTCCTCGATTCTCATTCAAACGGGTGACCAAATTTCATGGTATTTTCGAATTAAACAATAAGTAAAACGTTGTGTTTTGTTTGTTATAAAGTAAAAAGTAAAGAAGTGAATAATAGAAAATGTCTGATTCAGCAGTTGCAGTATCCGCGTCCCCGGTAACTCCCCAAACAGCCTCAGCTGAGAAGAAGGTGGCTGCTAAAAAGCCTGCATCTGCATCCGCATCTAAGGCAAAGAAAACGGCGGCTCCTCCAACACACCCACCAACTCAGCAAATGGTGGATGCATCGATAAAAAATCTAAAGGAACGTGGAGGCTCATCACTTTTGGCTATTAAGAAATATATCAGTGCCACTTACAAGTGCGATGCCCAGAAACTGGCTCCTTTCATTAAGAAGTACCTGAAGAATTCAGTTGCGAGTGGAAAGTTGATCCAGACAAAAGGGAAGGGTGCATCTGGTTCATTTAAGCTGTCTGCATCGTCCAAAAAGGAGCCCAAGCCAAAGGCATCCTCCATAGAGAAGAAATCTAAGAAGGTAACTGCATCGGCAGCAGCCAAAAAGAAGATATCTGCCACCAAAAAAGTAAAGGGTGCTGCCGATAAGAAGTTATCGAAGGCTGTGGTGACCAAAAAGAGCACCGACAAAAAGAGCACCGACAAAAAGAAAGCGGACAAAGCAAAAGTCAAAGATGCAAAGAAATTAGGAACCATTAAAGCGAAGCCCACAACAGCAAAGGCGGCAAAGTCAAGCGCAGCAAAGCCAAAGACTCCGAAACCTAAAACTACAAGTGCTAAGCCTAAAAAGGTTGTCTCGGCAGCATCACCGAAAAAAGCAGCTGCAAAGAAGCCAAAAGCAAAAGCTGCGTCCGCAACAAAGAAGTAATTTCACTTCGAAATTACTCGGCAGGGTAGAAACGAATTTCAAAACTATGAAATTTGCAATTAATCAAAGTCCTTTTCAGGACTACTATTACATATTTCCAAGAGAAAAAATACTTTCATAAACATATCTGTAGGTCAATATAAAAAGAGAGAGCCAATTTAGCCAAAAATTGCTAGATTATTATTTATTTATTTACTTATTGTTAAAAAGAATTTTAAATAACAAGTTTTAAGCCAGAGCAACGGAGGCCTTCAGGCAAGATTATAATTTTCAATGTTTGTTCTCTTTTTTTCTTTGATTGTTGTTGTTGTTCTGGTTGGGCTTCATTTCGCTAAACATTTCATTTCATTTCATCATAAACACAAAAGATTTTTGATAGTTGTTCGTTCGAATTATCACGATAATTCATTGAAATATTTAAAATTCTTTGAAAAAAGATTTGTGGCCCTGAAAAGGGCCTTTTGCTTTCGGATGTTCTGCATACATCAAGCCAAGATTTACTTGGAGCTAGTGTACTTGGTTACTGCTTTGGTTCCTTCACTGACAGCGTGCTTGGCCAACTCTCCGGGCAACAGAAGACGGACTGCAGTTTGGATTTCCCGACTGGTAATCGTTGAACGTTTGTTGTAGTGTGCCAAACGAGAGGCCTCAGCAGCAATACGCTCAAAAATGTCGTTCACGAAGCTGTTCATGATGCTCATTGCTTTCGACGAGATTCCAGTGTCAGGATGGACCTGCTTTAGCACTTTGTAAATATAGATAGCATAACTTTCCTTCCTCTTGCGCTTCTTCTTCTTATCATTCTTTGTAATATTCTTCTGGGCCTTGCCAGCCTTTTTGGCTGCCTTTCCACTTGTCTTAGGCGGCATTATTATTATTGTATTATTCACTCAAGTTCACTTTTACTCACTTCCCAAATGTTTGACAGAAAAATTCAGCTTGGTTAACATTTGTAGGATTTTTCGAACAACCTTTTCATGTTTGCGTACAGCACAACTCACCCTCTTCAGCTGAAAAAGTAGGTAGGTAAAAAAGTATAAGTAGACATGATGCGAATGTTGAGCATTCGATTCTTGTTTGTTGAGTGGAGAAGTGTAAAAAGAAAAAAATAAATATATAATGTCTGGTCGTGGTAAAGGTGGAAAAGTGAAGGGAAAGGCAAAGTCGCGCTCAAACCGCGCTGGCCTGCAGTTTCCCGTTGGTCGTATTCATCGGCTTCTTCGCAAGGGCAACTATGCCGAGCGTGTTGGTGCCGGTGCTCCAGTTTACTTGGCGGCTGTTATGGAATATTTGGCCGCTGAAGTTTTGGAGTTGGCTGGTAATGCAGCCCGCGACAACAAGAAAACCAGAATTATCCCTCGCCATCTGCAATTGGCCATCCGCAACGATGAAGAGTTGAATAAACTCCTTTCGGGCGTCACTATTGCCCAGGGCGGTGTGTTGCCTAACATCCAAGCAGTTCTGTTGCCTAAGAAGACCGAAAAGAAGGCTTAAATTACGAATTAATGCAAATCTAAACCAAAACCAAAACCAAACGTCCTTTTCAGGACGACCAAATATACAAAAGAGATGCAATTTTTCATGTATTAGTCTAAATAAATATACAAATATAATTTAATATAAGAAAAAATTCAAAATAAAACAGTCATTTTTTCATTCACAGTCATTCACAGTCATTAACGTGTCGAAAAGTTGAAATACTGCTGGTCGGCAGTGCTGCCAACTTTTCCGGGCAAGAAAATACTAAAAATTACCCTTTCAAACCTGCTAGAAACGGCTAGATCAAATTCAAGAATAGCCAGAAATATAGCCATTTCAGTTTTTATACCCTGATCCCATTGAAAATTGGAAAATGGGTTATAAAATTATATATTTTCTTGATCAGGGCGACGAGCTAAGTCGATTTAGCCCGGTCCGTCTGTTTGTCCGTATATATGAACGCGTCGATCTAAGAAGACTTGATTTTTTTTAATGGTTTGATTTTTAAAAATGTCAAATTTCCCGCCAGCAGCTAGATTTAAAATTTTCCTGCAATTGACAGTTGAAAAAGGCCAGATCTGGCCGGTAAAAGGCTAAGTTGGCAGCCCTGCTGTTCGGTCTGTATATATTCTTTGAGTGCATAAAATAATATTTTCTGCTAATACGACATCGTACTCTTTCTTGGTTGGATACAAAATATATACATCATTGTTCATCTGTTCCAATATATATTGCAGCTAGACTAGACTAGTAGCGCAAGATAAGTATAAACTTTATTAACGAGAATCGAATAGTTATTGAATTTCATATTTTTCAGCTCTTTTAAGGAAATATATTGGTGGTCCTGAAAAGGACCGATTGTTGTGAAAATAAGTTGCTTGTTTGTACTCGTTTTTTCTTAACCGCCAAAACCGTACAGTGTACGACCTTGCCTCTTCAATGCATAGACAACATCCATGGCTGTGACTGTCTTCCTCTTGGCATGTTCGGTGTATGTGACAGCATCGCGAATAACATTTTTCAAAAAGACCTTAAGAACGCCACGGGTTTCTTCATAGATTAGTCCAGAAATTCGCTTCACGCCACCACGACGAGCTAAACGACGGATAGCTGGCTTCGTGATACCCTGGATATTATCACGCAACACTTTGCGATGACGCTTTGCACCTCCTTTACCCAAGCCTTTGCCACCTTTACCACGACCAGTCATTTTTCACTTTTGTTTTTAATATACTAGAGCACTTCACGAATGTCAGCAATAAACTGATCTGTGAACTGCAGAATCACTCCTATTTATACTGAGATATCCGAAAACTTGAGAGAGCACACAAATGCTTGCATCCCGCTCACACACTACCCTTGCAACATTTAGTAGAGTAACACGATCACTATTTGTCGATCACGAATATGTCGATCTCTTTCTAACGCACCACCAGTTTTCTATATAATCCCAGGTGTTTTGGGTTGCGACCATTCAGTTTGAAATTGTGACTATACTTGGGAAAAAAAAGAGCTTGAAGGGGAACGGCCACCCCCCCTTTTGTGAAGGGAGTCAACACACTCCAATAATTCCCACCCCCCCACCAATTCCTCGCCAAGAAATTAAAAGAAAAAAAAAAAAAAAAAAAAAAAAAAAAAAAAAAAAAAAAAAAAAAAAAAAAAAAAAAAAAAAAAAAAAAAAAAAAAAAAAAAATTAAAAAAAAAAAAAAATTTAAAAAAAACTAAATTAGGAAAAAAAAAAAGGGGGAAAAAAAAAAAAAAAAAAAAAAAAAAAAAAAAAAAAAAAAAAAAAAAAAAAAAAAAAAAAAAAAAATAAAAGGCATAAGATTAAAGATCAATTATAAATTAACTAATTTAAACAATTGTGACATACTTAGAAAAAAAAAAAAAAAAAAAAAAAAAAAAGTGTAAGATAGTATTGTGAAACGATGGCTCGTACAAAGCAGACCGCTCGTAAGTCAACTGGTGGCAAGGCTCCTCGTAAGCAGTTGGCTACTAAGGCAGCACGTAAAAGTGCACCAGCTACTGGCGGTGTGAAAAAAACCTCATCGCTATCGCCCTGGTACAGTTGCTCTGCGTGAAATTCGTCGTTACCAGAAGAGCACAGAGTTGCTTATTCGCAAGTTGCCGTTCCAGCGTTTAGTCCGTGAAATCGCTCAAGACTTCAAGACTGACCTTCGTTTCCAGAGCTCAGCTGTGATGGCTCTACAGGAAGCTAGCGAAGCCTACTTGGTTGGCCTATTCGAAGATACAAATTTGTGCGCCATCCATGCTAAGCGCGTCACCATTATGCCCAAGGACATTCAACTGGCTAGACGTATCCGTGGCGAGCGCGCATAAATTGCTTCGCTATTCTGTCTTGTATTTATTACAAGCAACATTCAACAAATCGGTCCTTTTCAGGACCACAATATTTCTAACAAGGAGATTCTTATTTTCGCTTAAACTACTATTTTCAGATTTTAGTTGATCTCAAAAATAAATCGATCGTCCTACAATATATAAATTGAAAATATATCTCGAATATGATTGAAAACTATTATACGTATAAAGAAAATATTTTATGTTGCCAACGGTTGTACTATTAACAGAACGCTGTTAATAGTACATGAACAGAGTGCTGTTAATAACACAGCCGGGCTATGTGGGGGAGGAGCAATCCTGTTAATGGGATCTGGCATTAACATTTTATTTATTTACTTATTTTTACAGAACAATATATATAGCTTTATTGAACTTACAAAAAAGTTGCACTTTTATTTGGTGTTTAGTGTAAATTAAACATTTTCAGTAGTTAGCCAATTGCGTTTCAATTGAGATTTAACTTATTTCTGATTGTGTGTTTTTTGAAAACATTTTGATACACAAGTAAAAGGATTTTAAATATTTTTTATATTTTCTGCCTTATGTGCCTTGTGTGTCTCATAAGATAAAATAATATTTTAACGCTGATGTATTTCTTTGCGCAAGATAAGTGTATCTGACATGTAATGTTGAATATGATGGTATGAAATAATTATATGTTTGAATTAAGTAAAGAAAATATTAATATAATATTTGCATTCTAATTTTTAAATTTATATTTATTACTATATTTATAATGTTAAGGAGAAAATTTTATTTTTCGGAACGATTTTTGTTTAGCGTTGGCTCAAAAGTGTGACTGTTTTTAACGGCAAATGGTTTTGTTGAAATCATGAAACTCTATTATACGTATAAAAAAAAATATTTTATTTATTTATTTATTTTTACATAATAATATATATAGATTTATTGAACTTACAAAATAGTTGCATGTTCATAAGGCGTTTGGTTAAATTAAACATTTTCAGTAGTTAGCCAATTGCATTTCAATTGATATCTAACTTATTTCTGATTGTGTGTTTTTTTGAAAACATTTTGATATACAAGTAAAAGGATTTTAAATATTTTTTATATTTTCTGCCTTATGTGCCTTGTGTGTCTCATAAGATAAAATAATATTTTAACGCTGATGTATTTCTTTGCGCAAGATAAGTGTATCTGACATGTAATATTGAATATGATGGTATGAAATGATTATATGTTTGAATTAAGTAAAGAAAATATTAATATAATATTTGCATTCTAATTTTTAAATTTATATTTTTTACTATATTTATAATGTTAAGGAGAAAATTTTATTTTTCTGAACGATTTTTGTTTAGCTTTGGCTCAAAAGTGCGATTGTTTTTAACGGCAAATGGTTTTGTTGAAATCATATTTAATATATAAATCCATTGCGTTTGTTCATATTAATGGTTGCATTTAATTAAGAAATTATTAAATTATTATCTTTTAAATTTATATATTAACATTTTTATTATTATCTTATTAAAAAAATGGTTTTTCCAATATAACTTATTTTGCATTCACACAAACTTCAACTTTGAGGGGCAATAAAAAATCATAAAATTATAAAAATGTAAGTAAAAACTAATTTTATGAACTTTTCAAACATTTCAGAATATAATCTAAAACATATTTAGTGTGGATATAAAATTTAAACTGTTTAAAAAGACAAGTCAATAAAATGGTAATTGTAAACTTTTGCGTATCGTACATTCAATGGTACAAACATTCTCGTTCGACCTTCCTCCCTCGATTCTCATTCAAACGGGTGACCAAATTTCATGGTATTTTCGAATTTAACAATAAGTAAAACGTTGCGGTTTGTTTTTTATAAAGTGAAAAGTAAAGAAGTGAATAATAGAAAATGTCTGATTCCGCAGTTGCAGTATCCGCGTCCCCTGTAACTCCCCAAACAGCCTCAGCTGAGAAGAAGGTGGCTGCTAAAAAGCCTGCATCTGCATCCGCATCTAAGGCAAAGAAAACGGCGGCTCCTCCAACACACCCACCAACTCAGCAAATGGTGGATGCATCGATAAAAAATCTAAAGGAACGTGGAGGCTCATCACTTTTGGCTATTAAGAAATATATCAGTGCCACTTACAAGTGCGATGCCCAGAAACTGGCTCCTTTCATTAAGAAGTACCTGAAGAATTCAGTTGCGAGTGGAAAGTTGATCCAGACAAAAGGGAAGGGTGCATCTGGTTCATTTAAGCTGTCTGCATCGTCCAAAAAGGAGCCCAAGCCAAAGGCATCCTCCATAGAGAAGAAATCTAAGAAGGTAACTGCATCGGCAGCAGCCAAAAAGAAGAGTATATCTGCCACCAAAAAAGTAAAGGGTGCTGCTGATAAGAAGTTATCGAAGGCTGTGCTGACCAAAAAGAGCACCGACAAAAAGAAAGCGGACAAAGCAAAGGTCAAAGATGCAAAGAAAGTAGGAACCATTAAAGCGAAGCCCACAACAGCAAAGGTGGCAAAGTCAAGCGCAGCAAAGCCAAAGACTCCGAAACCTAAAACTACAAGTGCTAAGCCTAAAAAGGTTGTCTCGGCAGCATCACCGAAAAAAGCAGCTGCAAAGAAGCCAAAAAGCAAAAGCTGCGTCCGCAACAAAGAAGTAATTTCACTTCGAAATTACTCGGCAGGGTAGAAGGTAGAAACGAATTTCAAAACTATGAAATTTGCAATTAATCAAAGTCCTTTTCAGGAC